GCAGTGGTCTGTGTGGTGGCCGCTGCAGATGAGGAAGAGGAGGGTGGTGGTGATGAGGCAGCAGCAGGAGAGGAAGTACTGCAGGAAACATCAGCAGCTGCAGCGTCGTCGTTATCACCCGCTGACGACAACTCACAACCCTCGCCGTTCACTGACAGAGACAGACAGACTCATCCTGCATGTGTGCTAAACATCAGATCAGAACAAACACTCCCACACAAGCTGAGGAACATTGATCAGCCTGCTACAATCATCCATCTGGTTTATTTTTAAATATTATTTCTCTCACCAGCGGTGCTGATCGCGTCACTGCCAGCGGGCTGCAGAGGGGGCGTGGCCTTTGGACTGGGAGTTTGGTGTGAAGGGGAGGAGTCTCTGTCTCCATTGAGGAGGGAGGGGCCTAGCTCGCAGTTGGCAGAAGAGGTGAGCGGAGCTTCATTCTCCAGTCCATCTGAGCCGCTCACAGATCTGCAGAATCATGTTAGTAACCGTGCATAATTAAGCCAACCGTATATTTAATTCCCTAATGATAGAAACACTTGCCACACGGGCTGCAGGAGTGTCATGAGGAACCAGAAAACACCTGCAGATTCTCACCTGCTCTGTGTCCTCGCAGAACTCTCGTCTGGGTTCTCATGAAAAGCATCTCCATTCTGATGGACTTCTGGAGACAGACAGACAGACAGACAGGTCACAGACAGCCGGAGTGCTGGAGGTCAGAGGTCAGATTAGGGTTAGGAACGTGCAGGTGCTCTTACTGCTCGCAGTGGTTGGGTTTCCATTGTGCATGTGCTGTGGGTCGAACGAGAGTCCGTCCAGGAAGACTGTGAGTTCACCGGTGGACACGACTCCGTTCTTACCGTCCACGGTCAGCGTCAACACCTCGCGCACATTCTCCACTGAAACAACAACACACAACACTCACCATCTCTACTGTCGCTGTCTGCTGGTGCTCTTCCTGTTAGACAGCACAAACCATCACCATCTGTTCAATAATATGTAACTCGCAGACAGACGTACGTTTGCCGTCGTGTTTCCGGAGCGTCCCGCTAACATCCAGTGAGGCTTTTCCCAGCAGCACGTCGGCCTTCAGGGTGTGATGACTCCAGACTCTGAAATCCAGCTGCGAGTGTGGCGTTATACTCCTGCGGCGACACACAGATTCAGAGGCGCGTCAGAATCCAAAACTAAACAGCTGAGCACGGCAATTCACTTGCTTATTTTGTCTCTGTTGCACTGGTGAGAACACTCTGATTACGTGATTAAAAAGCTGCAACGGAGAGCATCAGTCAATTAGCAGATTGTGTTTCTGACCATCACTAAGTGAACAGCTGGAGCGGTTACATCAACACAGTCAGCATGTAATGACCCAACTAGCAGTTAGCCAAAAACTCACCAGTCCTACTTTTTCATGCAACTGATTTAAAGTTATAACCAGCCTTAACGAAAAAGTCATTTATTCATTAGATAAGACTAGACTAAGCAGTTTATGCCACTAGCCCTGGACCGTCATGAACAGAACTGCACATCATCACAGCTGTGTACGAGTGACTCACAGCGTCAGACGTTCCTCCCATTTGGGGCTGGATGAACTGTGGGATTTGGTGGTTTTCTTGCTCTCTCCCTCTGATGTCACTTCCACATAGATGGCCGTTCCAAACCAGTTCTTCTTCCTCTTGAGTTTGGCACATGAAACTGACACATAACACGACACACACTCAGCATTTGAAGAAAACGTGTCACTTCCTGTTCCTGTTGTGTTGTCTTACCGACGGCGTGCAGCTGAGAGCGTTCTCTGTCGCTTCTGGAGGAGCCCGTGGCCATGACCTCGAAAAACACGACACACGCCATCAACTACAGGACCTGAATGAACACACGCTCAACTCACTGGCCCACAACGAAATTGTCGCTAATATCGTTTGAGCTTCAAACCGAGTCTAAAAGTCAGTAAGAGTTTTCTATTCGCTTCAGCGCTGCACAATTAAATTAATATTTTGTATAAAACGGTCATGCTTTTAGTTTAATCAAAAGAGCATTTTATCTTTTTAAATGAATAGTTTGTTCGTGCCCACAAAACCAGTGAACAAGAACAATTTTCTTCAAATTGAGTTCAGTGTTTCCACAGAAAACGAACAGACAGCTACGGTAAATGGGATTAGTTAGTTAACCACAGCTTCCCAGTACAACCGCTGCCGACTGCATTTGACATCTCCAATGATTCTGGATGTCTAGATTTATGTGGCAAAACCTCCACAGACTGACGAGCGGTTTGTAAAGACGAGTGAGCTGAGCTGCTCCTGTGGAGGACAAACCAAACTGAAGAACAAACGCTGGATCTACAGATTCAGAGAAATTATTTCACTCCTGTTATTCACAAGTGTAGATAAAAATATAATGTTATAATCAACACTTTTCACCATTACTTAATCTTGGCAGCTGTAATAGTAAAAATGTAGTAAAAGTCTCAAAAGACACATGAAGTGTTTAAATCAGAGGAATAAAATCAGAGTAGAAAACAGAAAATTGTACCTCAGGAAACATTATGAAATATAATACTGTAGTCATTACCCCTGTTAAAGGATTGACATCTAACTAACCCATCAGCACCTCGTCAGAGTAAAAAACTGATGAAATATGATCAACTCACAATAGCTGTGCGTGAGACGCCTGTGCTTCTTCAACCGTCACTGTGAGCCATGATTCACTGCAACACAAGAGATTCACATCAGCGCATTCATGAAGACCTGCTCCAATCACAGCTTTAATCAGCTTAACCAGCAGTTCATCCATGAGAGACGGACAGATGAAGGACAGATGAGGACAGACGGACAAATGAAGGACAGATGAGGACAGACAGACAGATGACGGACAGATGGACAGATGAGGGACAGACGGACAGATGAAGGACAGACAGACGGAGGACAGACGGACAGATGGGGAACAGATGAGGACAGACGACGGACAGATGGAGGACAGATGAGGACAGACAGACAGACAACGGACAGATGGGGACAGACGGACAGAAGGACAGACGACGGACAGATGGGGGACAGATGAGGACAGACAGACAGATGACGGACAGATGGGGAACAGATGAGGACAGATGGAGACAGATGAGGGACAGACAGACAGATGAAGGACAGATGGACAGATGAGGGACAGACGGACAGATGAAGGACAGACAGATGAGGGACAGACGGACAGATGGAAGGACAGACGGACAGATGAGGGACAGACGGACAGATGAAGGACAGACAGACAGATGGAGGACAGACAGATGGAGGACAGACGGACAGATGAAGGACAGACAGACGGAGGACAGACGGAGGACAGATGAGGACAGACGACGTACAGATGGGGAACAGATGAGGACAGACGGACAGATGGGGACAGATGAGGGACAGACGGACAGATGAAGGACAGACAGACGGAGGACAGACGGAGGACAGATGAGGACAGACGACGTACAGATGGGGAACAGATGAGGACAGACGGACAGATGGGGACAGATGAGGGACAGACGGACAGATGAAGGACAGACAGACGGAGGACAGACGGAGGACAGATGAGGACAGACGACGTACAGATGGGGAACAGATGAGGACAGACGGACAGATGGGGACAGATGAGGGACAGACGGACAGATGAAGGACAGACAGACGGAGGACAGACGGAGGACAGATGAGGACAGACGACGTACAGATGGGGAACAGATGAGGACAGACGGACAGATGGGGACAGATGAGGGACAGACGGACAGATGAAGGACAGACAGACGGAGGACAGACGGAGGACAGATGAGGACAGACGACGTACAGATGGGGAACAGATGAGGACAGACGGACAGATGGGGACAGATGAGGGACAGACGGACAGATGAAGGACAGACAGACGGAGGACAGACGGAGGACAGATGAGGACAGACGACGTACAGATGGGGAACAGATGAGGACAGACGGACAGATGGGGACAGATGAGGGACAGACGGACAGATGAGGGACAGACGGACAGATGAAGGACAGACAGACAGATGGAGGACAGACGG